GCCGGGGCGCGCCTGCTGCCGCTCGGGGGCTTCTAATGTCGTTTTGCCATTTATTATTATTATTTTTAAGTTTATTCGGAAGAGGAGGAGGAGGAGGGGGGGGGGTTGCTTCTCATCCTGACTTGCCTTGTTGTTTGTTGTTGCGTTTTTTACACCCCAGAGACACCATGATTCCTGGTAACCGAATGCTGATGGTCATCCTACTATGCCAAGTCCTGCTAGGAGGTACTAACCATGCTAGCCTGATACCCGAGACCGGCAGGAAGAAAGTCGCAGAGCTTCAGGGACAAGCCGGATCCGGACGCCGCTCTGCCCAAAGCCATGAACTCTTGCGGGGTTTCGAAACAACTCTGCTGCAGATGTTTGGGCTGCGAAGGCGGCCTCAGCCCAGCAAGTCAGCCGTCATTCCTAGTTACATGCTGGATCTCTATCGGCTCCAGTCTGGAGAAGAGGAGGAAAGCCTCCAGGAAATTAGCCTGCAGTACCCGGAGCGATCGACCAGCCGGGCAAACACCGTGAGGAGTTTCCACCATGAAGGTCAGTGATGGGAGAAGGTAAATTCCCGGCCCCAGTAGCGATCGGGATTTCCTTGCCTTTGGAAGCTCACAAATGCATTTAGAAGCAGGATGTGCCCGGCCCTAAATTTATGGGAGGAAAACCGCCCCTCCAAGCCTGCTGCGTGTGGGTGACAGGCGTGCTGCTCTGTATTTTTTTCCAGCATCCTGTGCTTAACCCGAGCTTGGCCATATTTTGAGGTGCTTTCGCTTCTGTTGACAACAGCGAGTTTCCTTCGGTGCCTCTGCCTTGGGGTCACTCCTTGGGCTCGCGTGGATTTAATGGCTCTGGATCGGATGCAGGAGTAAAGTGAGGGCGGGATCTTGCCCCTGGTGTGTTTCTTTTGAACTATCAAAGCGATTGCTGCCTGGTTTTGCTCTTAAGGGGGAAAAAAAAAATTCCAAAAAAACCCCTACTCGAATTTAATGCTTACAGCTGTGTGTTTATAAGGTTTATTCAATAGGCCCTTGTAATCTGATCCAAATGTTTCCTAGCGGATGTTTCTTTTCCAAAGTAAATCTGAATTATTAATCCAGCCGCATCGTTACTGCGTTGGACTTTGCTTCTCTTTCTCCCCCTGCCCCCTGCGCCCCGTAACAAGGCACCTCTGTGCTCCGTGGCGCCGCACCTCGCCGGGGAGATGATTTTGGAGAGATTGGGAGGGGAAAGCGAAAGGGGAAGCGAGATGGGAAGGGGTGACCCGATCCGGGCACAGGCGTGTGGAGGGTGAGCGAGTGGTGCCGGGGCAGGAGCTGCTCCGGGTCCAGCCGGGAGGGATGCGCGGGGGAGCGGAGAGGTGCCGGCGGCTGCCAGGCAGGTGAAGCGTGGGTACGTGCGTGCTGTGGCTGCGCCGGGGACTGTGGCTGGGTGCCCCGAGGCTGACGTGCTCTTGTTTGCTTTTTGTACCGCTTCCCCCCCGTCCTGCTCCCCTCCAGAGCACCTGGAGAGCGTCCCGGGTCCCAGCGAGGCGCCCCGGATCCGCTTCGTCTTCAACCTCAGCAGCGTGCCGGAAAACGAGGTGATCTCCTCGGCGGAGCTGCGGCTGGGCCGGGAGCTGGTGGAGGAGCAGAGCGCGGCGTGGGAGAGGGGCTTCCACCGGATAAACATTTACGAAGTGATGAAGCCGCTGTCGGAGCGCGCTCAGGCCATTACGCGCCTGTTGGACACGCGTCTGGTGCACCACAACGTGACGCGCTGGGAGACCTTTGATGTGAGCCCGGCTGTGATCCGGTGGACCAAGGACAAGCAACCGAACCACGGGCTGGTGATCGAGGTGACCCACCTCCACCATGCACAGACTCATCAGGGCAAACACGTCAGGATTAGCCGATCTTTACCTCAAGGGCGCGGGGACTGGGCTCAGCTCAGGCCGCTCCTGGTCACTTTTGGGCACGACGGGCGAGGCCATGCGCTGACCCGTAGAGCCCGCCGGAGCCCCAAGCACCAGCGTTCCCGCAAGAACAAAAAAAACTGCCGCCGCCATGCCCTTTATGTGGATTTCAGCGACGTGGGCTGGAACGACTGGATCGTGGCACCCCCGGGGTACCAGGCGTTTTACTGCCACGGGGACTGCCCCTTCCCTCTGGCCGACCACCTCAACTCCACGAACCACGCCATCGTGCAGACGCTGGTGAACTCCGTGAACTCCAGCATCCCCAAGGCCTGCTGCGTGCCCACGGAGCTGAGCGCCATCTCCATGCTCTACCTGGATGAGTATGACAAGGTGGTCCTGAAAAACTACCAGGAGATGGTGGTGGAGGGGTGCGGGTGCCGCTGACCCCCTTCCCCGCCGCCCCCTCCCCCCCTTCTCTCTCCCTCCCC